GTAAAAGAAAAATCTTAGTGTTTGTTGGCAGTTTTATTTTATTTTGAAAGAGAGAATTCAGGAAGATCAACATGAGTAGGAATCAACTAGAAAACTAAAGGAACCAATACAGTCCTGGAATAGTGGTCCAAGGGCTTGGATCTTAGCTTGTGTAGCCTATCACCTATTAACCAGTTTTACAAGTTACGATTTTTTGACTAACAGAATTAAGAAATTATTTATCTTGTATGTTCGTAATTTTGGCATAAATACAAATTCCAGATTGAGAAGGATAATACCAGAGTACGATCTTTGGTTTCACAATAAAAATACTACAAATTTAAATCTTCCACATCTCACTCACATGTCTTGGTCATTCTCATTGGCTAGAGCAGCCTTTGCAATGCATAAGAATGCAGGGTCAACATTGTAGTCCTCTTTTGCCGATGTCTCAAAGTAAGGTAGGTTCCCTTTTGATGCACACCATTCCTTTGCTTTCTTCTCAGATACCTGAAGTTTAATTTAATCAGAATCACATATGATGGTTATATAAAACTAATGCCACACAAAAAATTGACTTACCACTCTGCTATTGCCACCATCTATATCGATCTTGTTTCCTAATAATATAAAGGGAAACGTCTTCGCGTCAGGTGGATTAGCCTGCATCATATGAAAATTCTGTCAAATTTACGGCTAGGCAATGAAATTACCAGTCTAATAGTTAGCAAAAGAAAAGACGATAAATGAAACAGGATTCGTAGGATTTGGGCTAGTAAAAAAATCATTCTTTTGGGTTTAACAGACTGTAGCAACACAATGTAATAGCTACAGCCTCACCATTAGAACATGTCACTGTCGTAATTTTNCCGTCTCAATCTAAGGTCAGTAGAGTCAAGCACATGAATTATTTAGGGCGCGTGCGTTTGGATATGAGACAAAGCCGGTTTTAATCGGTTTTGACCGTTGGGTTATTTTGTTTTATGTCTTTTAATTCAAAATCCAACTCACCCCAACTTTCCTCAATATTATTCATATAATTAAATAATACCAATCAATCATCCACACGCATCACATCAACTTTCATTCACGCATATAATTCTAACTACTTATCACTTCCAATAACCCCTCTCCAACTTTCAAATCAACTTTAATCATTACATTTTAAATAATTTTTTATTTACAAACTCAAAATCATCCACTCAATCAACTTTATTCAAAATACCTCACTTTAACCAACTAAATCTAACCAAAACCGGTCGGATTTATATTCAATCACCCCCTTAGTACCCCAAGGGGGGGGGGGGGGGNGGGGGGGGGGGGGGGGTAATATTATATGCAACACGCAATCTATTGCCCTGCCAAAGCATTAAGATCCAGTTTTTCAGACTTTATAGAACACGAATGCAATGTTATCAATGGCGGATAGCAGAAAATGGTGAAAGGCCAAATCCTTCCATAATGGTCCCCATGGCATCACCATAACCGCCATCTTACACACTCGTCTCATGGCAGTTAGGAAGAAAGCGCCATTAGATAACACTGAATGAATGTATATATACATTTCACATTCCCTAAATCCTATTACACCCACACTTCGTGACAAGGGCTAGTTTTGATGTAATATATCAAAAGGAAATCATTTCCCATCTACGTCTGAATGCAACAAAACAGAAAACATGCACGGGCCAGCCCACTTTTGATTGCAATTAATGGTACATTCTTTTCATACTTATAGCATATCGAAAGCAGAGCATATCAGCTCACAATTTACACTTTAATGCAGTTCATCTCCATCTATTCGCCAGACAGTTAGCAAAATCTGAAGAAGCTACCATTAAGTAAACCAGGAAGAAGACAAGTCATAACGGAAAAACTTCAACAAATAGATAGTCATGCTTGAAGCCCTGAACTCTGGTTGATAACATCCATAAACGTAAGAAGTCGTATGCATGACAAATGGTATGGGATAAATGCTACCACAGGTACAAATAATTCTGAATTGTCAACTCAAATGACCCCATATGTAAATATGAATTAGAATAGTTTCATCGATGATGATAAAAGTCATTAACACAGCCAACAGCAGTGTGACCCATGCATTGCACAAGTTTATTGAAGCAATAGCCCCTAGCCTAGATGCATGAGTAAAATAGATTAATTATAAAAGCATTTTCAGTTCAATTTCTTACTAAAGCTTCTAGTTTGCAACATTTATTTATTCTTTAAATTAATGAACGAAATAGACCTACTATACACAATAAAATGAGATCATGAGAACAAAATAATTGAGTTAAATATGTGACCTACATTGCAGTCATACAATAATGTACAAGAAAGTTACAATATTTACATACGCAAAAAAATGCACGCTAGTATCATTAAGTTTTACCTAATTAGTAATTACAGAATACTCCCATACAGTGACAAACATCCAATTAAACTTTGCATTTATTAAGGACTCAATATTTAAATTAGAAACCAGTATCCAGGGGCTATATTGATTTTAAAAAGCCACTGGTTTTTAAATTACACTGTTAGAGAAAAACCAGGTAATTTCCGTAACTAACTAGACCTCTTTAACCAGTAATAATATCACTTTTCCAATAAAACCAATTATGCATATACACATTTGTAAATGTGTGGCTGCGAAAATCAATTTGAATTTAGATTATTCATTCTTTTCTGTAGAATGATGATGCATATGACTATATTTTAGTTTCAACTTGCCAAACATACACATACAAAATCTACACAGCAAGTGAACAAATGCAAGTCAGATGTAGAAACACTAAGAAAATACTACACTTAATATAAGGCAATATTACACTTGACAAATGAGCCAATAAACAATAAAACGCGCACTAAAAAGCTCATAGGTCAAGAGTGACAGGCTGACAGCTATCATTTCCATCCATAAAACTTCCACAACTCAAACGCTCTTCTCTCAGAAGAGTATCTAACCTCAAATATGCAATTCAAAAACTTCCAACAACAGCAAAACAAGATGTTCGTCCTGAAAAAACCTGACAATACCTTTTTCTCCAACAAAGACCACAAAAGCAGCAACTGATCCATATTATGAAAAATAAAAATGAAAAAATTACCAACCTGCTTGAGAAATTCCTCATGCCAGTTGTCGAGGGTATCAAATGACCTCATGACATTCACGTCATATACCAGAACACAGCAATCCGCACCTCTATAAAATGCAACTCCAAGACTTTGAAATCTCTCTTGGCCAGCAGTGTCCCAAATCTGCCAAACCCCAGATGCAGGCTCAGCTCTTAGCAAGTAAAAGGTCAAATGCAGACCCAAATTCACACATATAAAATAAAACAAAAATGAATTTCCACTATACGAAATAGGCAAAAAAAATCAACCTGAAGAGTGACGAGGCGATCGTCTATTTGAAGTTCCTTGGTCACGAAATCAGCACCAATTGTAGCTTTGTACTGCTGACTGAATTTCTTGTGCACATATCTATTTGCTCAGTTAAAGAATCCCCCAGCAAATATTTTAAATTATCACGAAGAAATCTAATAGCCATGAACAATTTTCACCCACCTCAATTTTTTTTTTAAAAAAAAATCTATTTTATCAGCGAGATCAACAAGAACAACAAATGAAGAAGGATACTGGTTCATCAATGACGTTTTGCCCACACTGGAAAGAAATAATAATAAAAAAACTGCATTAATACACATTAACAACCAAATCCTAGCTCAGGACCCATCAATCAAATCTCAAAAAATAACAACACAGTACCCGCTGTCGCCTAGCACGATGACTTTTAGCAAAGTTCGCCTGCGCGACGACATTTGTTACCGGCGGTGAAGCTAATGCTGAAAATTTTCGCTTCTGAATATTTTCCTCCCTAAGATTTGAGAAGAAAATTTTGTGCGTGTGGGTGAATTGTGGGGTAGATGAAAAGAAGGAACAAGAAAATGGGGGCGCCAATTTCGATCTGAATCAGTGTCACATACACTATTGAGTATTTTTACCCTTTTTTAACTTATTTTATGCCTATTGTGTTTTTTGTGGTTTATATTATGAATATTTTATTTCTAATAAAATACAAAAATAATTTTGTTTTTTTTTTTGTTAAAGAAAAAAAACCCCAAGAAGAGTGGGAAGCCATATCCCAACTTGTATATAGTCAAGACCCTAATTGGGCCGAAGAAATCACAAATCTACACATGTCCAAACAAACGAAAACAAGGTAAAAGAGAAAGGAGAAAAAATGAGAAAAACAACAGCCAAAATGAAGAATCTTAACTTGGGCTGACATGTTAGTGGTAAGACGGTTCACATATGACCTATAGGTTATGAGTTCGAGTTACCGATGAGAGAAAGTGAGAACACTATTGATCCTCCTTAATAAAAAAGAAAAAAAAAATTTGGTTGACAAGTGTCAAGGCAAGAAGTCTGCACCACAAAATGCGCTGAAGCACACGAAAAAACAAACAAAAATGCTACCGAAATCTGAAAGAGGGGTAGCCATCCTGATCCATCCGCACAAGAGTGCGGAGGCGAAGAGGGGCGTCGTCTGGGTAAAAAATGCGCCTCTGGAGAGTGGAGGTACCAAGGCTGAATAGGTAGTCGGCTGGTCGATTTCCTAACGAAAAATGTGCGAGATCCGACAGCAAACCGACTTAAGTGTGGATCTGATGCGCATGAGCGGGTGCTGAATCTGCTACGAGCCCCAGCGGCCGAAGGTTAAGAGGGTGGCGACAGAGGCAGCACCCAACTCAATCCATTGTGCGTGTAGGTAGAGGTTGCAGTATGAAGACTGATCTAAAGCGCCTGAATCTCTGCATTGTAGTTCAAAGAGGCCTAAAGAGGGGCGTGGAAAGCGGTAATGAGAGCTCCACTGTGATCCCTAATCAGGCCCCTGTCTCCGACTGCTCCAATGAGTCGGTCGAAAGATTCGTCAGTATGTTGTTCAGCTTAAGTCAAAGGAAATCGGATCTCAGCCAAACAACGGCTCTGGGACATGAGTACTGGACATGCGACAACGAATGCAGCATGAGATGATGAGGCAGCGTGCAACCTGTTTAGTCTAGGCGTGATCTGCCCCATGATGTCAGGAGGGAGAGATATCGATCAACTTGCAAAAATAATTTTGTGTTTACTCATGAATAATTCAATTTAGACAGAGATACGTACGAGCCGAGTCGAGCCGAGCCGAACCGAGCAATATTCCTATGTGTTAGGCTTGATTTTCCAATGTTGCTTGAGCTCGACAAGCTCAACTTTTATTAGCTCGACTTGATAAAAATATAATTGAAATTGGCTTGAATTTCATTAACTCGATTATACTCCAGTTCAATTCAAATTTTATGTAAACAAATTTTTTTATCGACTTTGGCTCCAGTTTAACTCCAATCTAGCTTGAGTTGGAAGTATTTTAGTAAATTATATTTATATTCGGATGTTTCGTCTCGAGTTTGACTGTAACTCAAGTTTGAGTTGTTGGATTCATCTATAGTGAATACATAGTACAATAATTAATCATACTTGATCAATTCTTGTGTACATTCATATAAGTATGCCGTTAAAAAGAGAAATATATACTTATTACCTGGGTTTATTTAAGTCTTAAAAGCTCTTATATATTCACTATAAAAGATTATGAGAAAAAATACCCCTACACCATTAAGATTACCTTTATTTACGAATATATTAATTTTAATTTTAATTTTTTAATTATATCACATACACAACAAAGAAACAGAAAACAAAAATGAACCAAATGATTTTGTATCATGCAGGAATATTTTTTCTATCACTAACATTATCGAGGGTACATTTTCTTACAAACATAAAAATTGATGCCTAAAACCGTCTTCAATTTTTCACAATTCAAAATGTTAAATTGAAAACTCATCCTAAATCAATGCTCTAACACAAGATGATGTATTTTTTTTTTTTTTTTTTNTTTTTCATGTTTCGGTATTCTAGTAAATGATAAGAAGATAGAGCTCAGGAAGTTCTTGATCAACTATCTTAACATGTGAAGTCCACTGTCCATGGTTCCACAAGGAAATAAGGAGTAAATAGATGTCTGTCTAAGTGAGTAGATTATGTTTGAAAATATCCAGAGATTGTAAAACTAACTCAGCATTCAATTCAACGTATCTTCTACAGCATGAATACCTTATACCAAGCTGTATGGTCGACCAAACTTCCAAAACAAATCATATATATACCTTATACCACGCAGTTCGGCATTATCTTGAGGACACATGGAAAAACTGCTTCCCTTAGAAGCCTCTTTCTTCCTCTCTTCCTTGAGATTATTAGTTCATATTTAGTTCATACGAAATGCATATTTAGTTCATGTACAGTGCATATACGTTATATTTAAATTAAATATATAATAATGCATATTTCATTAATATGATGCATATTTAGTTCATAGATTATGCATATTTAGTTAATACGAAATACATATTTAGTTCATCCATAGTGCATATTTATTATATTCAAATTATATACATGTGCATATTTATTTTATTCATGATGCATATTTAGTTCATTGATGATGCACATTTAATTAATACGAAATGGATATTTGTTATATTTAAATTAAATATATGGTGATGCATATTTAGTTAATTCGTGAAGCATTATTAGTTCATGCTAAATGCATATTTAGTTCATCCATAGTGCATATTTATTATATTTAAATGAAATATATACATGTGTTCATTCATGATGCATATAAGAAATGCTTATTTAATTCATAAACAGTGCATACTTAGTTGATATTCTTGGTGCATATTTAATTCATAAGGATTGCATATGGAATTGATACCAAATGCATAGTTAGTTCATAGTGCTAAATGCATATTTTCTTCATGTATAATGCATACTAAGGTCAACGGGTCAACGCCGGAGTCAATGGTCAACGGTCAATGGTGAAACTAATATTTGAATAATAAAATAATAAATTATTATCTAAATAAAGAGTTAAATCTTGGCCACACATCTTGATACCTATCTAGTGGCTAGGACTGAGTCTCGCGTACTCATTTTAAAATTGCGTCCTCATTGAAATCAATCCTTATATATATATACACACATACGATGTCATGAAACTTGAATATAATCAACAAAACAAACTCAAAATAAAATTCACATAATATATCATGATCATATGTTATAAAACTTGAAATATAACAAACACAACAAATTCAAAAAAATAGGGATATTTTCGATTCTTATAGACATTTAAAGAACTTTAGATTTTTGTATATTTAACTTGGACTTTTTAAAACTTTTAAAAGTCTTAAAACACTTATTTAAAATTTCAAAAAATCATAAAAGATCATGAAACTACAAAAAAATTGTTATATTCCAACTAAAAATCATAAGGTAATAAATACCATTAATGGAAATTCCAACGAATATTCCAACAGTATAGCTTTCGTTGAAATGATTCCAATGGAATTACCAACAAAAATATTCCGTTGGAATGTGTTTTTCATTGGAATTTTAGATGGAATTTGATGATTCCAACGACTATATTTCCAACGGCTTTTGACCGTAGGAATTTCCGTTGGTATATGCAATATCCGTTGGAACTCCACCCCCGTTGAAAAATCTACCGTTGGAATCGTCAAAATCTAACGAAAATTTCAATGGAAAACTCATTCTAACGGAATATTGTTGCTGGAATTTCTGTTGGAATCCATTGAAAAATTCCAACGGAAATAATATTGATTTAAAATATCCATTGGAATTCTATTTGAATATATTTCCGTTGAAATTTCATCATTTTTTTGTAGTGTGAGGTATATTTAATTTGTTTATTATTTGAATTTGTCTAAACTTTTAAAAATTATTGAGATTTCAAAAATATAATATTTATACGAAATCTCACACCAAATCGAGACTTTAAATGATATTTTAAGATTTTGTAAGATTATTTAATTCTATTGGGCCCCTAGAAAATCTTAGATTTAGGTTGATTTGGTGTGTGATTTGGTATATGCAATTAATATGTGAAATTTCATTAAGTCTTAAAAATTTGGACAAAATAAAGTGACAAACACTACAAAAAAATTATTATATTCTAACAAAAAAATCCTATAATAATATATTCCAATGGAAATTTCTACGGATATTTCAATAGTATATCTTCCTTTGGAATGATTCCAACGGAAATTCCAACGAAAATACCGTTGGAATGTATTTTTCATTGAAATTTTAGATGGAATTTGATGATTCCAACGGCTTTTGACCGTTGGAATATGCCATTTCCGTTGAAATTTTTATTTTCACCACCGTTGGAAAATCTACAGTTGGAATCGTCAAAATCCAACGGAAATTCCAATGGAATATTTTTGTTGGAATTTCTGTTGGAATAATTCCAACGGAAATAATAGTATTGAAATATCTATTGGAATTTGTCGTTGGAATTCTATTGAAATATATTTCCGTTGGAATTTCATCATTTTCTTGTAGTGAAATAAATAGCATACCTCTTGATTTTTTAATATTTTTAATCTCAAATAAATAACTCGGCTTTTATTTTATTTTTTAAGTTCAAGCTAAATACATTAGAATTTTCAACAATTTTTTAAATCCAAAATAAATGTGTCACTTTTCGCATATAAAATGTGACAACAATACTATTAATTATAATTGATAGAAATTACAATGATTATATTTCAATTAATACTGATACATAAGTATTATATATACATATATAGGGGCGGATCAAATGAGACGAGCTCTTAAAATGCGTCCAACACTTAAAATGGGACCAGCTCTTAGCAACTATAGACAACTAACCTAGCAAATTATAGAGAACTAACCTAGCTACTACTAACCTAGCAACTACAGAGAACTAACCTAGCAACAACAGAAAACTAACCTAACAACAACAGACAACTAACCTAGCAACTACTTAGAACTAACCTAGCAACTACGTAGAACTAACTTAGCAACAAGATAGAACTAAC